CGAAGGAAAGAAAGAGAGAGATAAAAAGGAAGGCTCAAATGAAATGAAAAAAGAGAACACTCAAAAAACGAAGGATAAAAAGAGAGAGATAAAAAGGAAAGGCTCAAATCAAACGAAAGAAGAGAACACTCAAAAAACGAAGGAAAGAAAGAGAGAGATAAAAAGGAAGGTTTAAATGAAATGAAAGAAGAGAAGACTCAAAAAACGAAGGAAAGAAAGAGAGAGATAAAAAGGAAAGCTCAAATGAAATGAAAGAAGAGAACACTCGAAAATCGAAGGAAAGAAAGAGAGAGATAAAAAGGAAGTCTCAAATGAAATGGAAGAAGAGAACACTCAAAAAACGAAGGAAAAGAAAGGGAGAGATAAAAAGAAGGCTCAAATGAAATGAAAGAAGAGAACACTCAAAAAAACAGAAAGAAAGAAAGAGGATAAAAAAGGAAGGCTCAAATGAAATGAAAGAAGAGAGAACACTCAAAAAACGAAGGAAAAAAAGAGAGAGATAAAAAGGAAAGGCTCAAATAAAATGAAAGAAGAGAACACTCAAAAACGAAGGAAAGAAAGAGAGAGATAAAAAGGAAGGCTCAAAAGGAAATGAAAGAAGAGAACACTCAAAAACGAAGGAAAGAAAAAAGAGGGTAAAAAGGAAGGCTCAAATCAAATGAAAGAAGAGAACACTCAAAAAAACGAAGGAAAGAAAGAGAGAGATAAAAAAGGAAGGCTCAAATCAAATAAAAGAAGAGAACACTCAAAAAAACGAAGGAAAGAAAGAGAGAGATAAAAAAGGAAGGCTCAAATCAAAAGGAAATGAAAGAAGAGAACACAAAAAAATGAAGGAAAGAAAGAGAGAGATAAAAAGGAAGGCTCAAATCAAATGAAAGAAGAGAACATTCAAAAACGAAGGAAAGAAAGAGAGAGATATAAAGGAAGGCTCAAATGAAATGAAAGAAGAGAACACACAAAAAACGAAGGAAAGAAAGAGAGAGATAAAAAGGAAGGCTCAAATGAAATGAAAGAAAAGAACACTCAAAAAACGAAGGAAAGAAAGAGAGTAATAAAAAGGAAGGCTCAAATCAAACGAAAGAAGAGAACACTCAAAAAACGAAGGAAAGAAAGAGAGAGATAAAAGGAAGGTTCAAATGAAATGAAAGAAGAGAACACTCAAAAACGAAGGAAAAGAAAGAGAGATAAAAAGGAAAGCTCAAATGAAATGAAAGAAGAGAACACTCGAAAATCGAAGGAAAGAAAGAGAGAGATAAAAAGGAAGTCTCAAATGAATTGGAAGAAGAGAACACTCAAAAAACGAAGGAAAGAAAGGGAGAGATAAAAAGAGGGCTCAAATGAAATGAAAGAAGAGAACACTCAAAAAACGAAGGAAAGAAAGAGAGAGATAAAAAGGAAGGCTCAAATGAAATGAAAGAAGAGAACACTCAAAAAACGAAGGATAAAAAGAGAGAGATAAAAAGGAAAGGCTCAAATGAAATGAAAGAAGAGAACACTCAAAAAACGAAGGAAAGAAAGAGAGAGATAAAAAGGAAGGCTCAAAGGAAATGAAAGAAGAGAACACTCAAAAAACGAAGGAAAGAAAGAGAGAGATAAAAAGGAAGGCTCAAATCAAATGAAAGAAGAGAACACTCAAAAAACGAAGGAAAGAAATAGAGAGATAAAAAGGAAGGCTCAAAGGAAATAAAAGAAGAGAACACTCAAAAAACGAAGGAAAGAAAGAGAGAGATAAAAAGGAAGGCTCAAAGGAAATGAAAGAAGAGAACACACAAAAAACGAAGGAAAGAAAGAGAGAGATAGAAAGGAAGGCTCAAATCAAATGAAAGAAGAGAACATTCAAAATACGAAGGAAAGAAAGAGAGAGATAAAAAGGAAGGCTCAAATGAAATGAAAGAAGAGAACACACAAAAAACGAAGAAAGAAAGAGAGAGATAAAAAGGAAGGCTCAAATCAAATGAAAGAAAAGAACACTCAAAAAACGAAGGAAAGAAAGAGAGTAATAAAAAGGAAGGCTCAAATCAAACGAAAGAAGAGAACATTCAAAGAACGAAGGAAAGAAAGAGAGAGATAAAAAGGAAGGCTCAAATGAAATGAAAGAAGAGAACACTCAAAAAACGAAGGAAAGAAAGAGAGAGATAAAAAGGAAGGCTCTTAAGGAAATGAAAGAAGAGAACACTCAAAAAACGAAGGAAAGAAAGACAGAGATAAAAAGAAAGGCTCAAAGGAAATGAAAGAAGAGAACACTCAAAAAACGAAGGTAAGAAAGAGAGAGATAAAAAAAAGGCTCAAATGAAAATGAAAGAAGAGAACACTCAAAAAAAACGAAGGAAAAGAAAGAGAGAGATAAAAAAAGGAAGGCTCAAATCAAATGAAAGAAGAGAACACTCAAAAAACGAAGGAAAAGAAAGAGAGAGAAAAAGGAAGGCTCAAATGAAATGAAAGAAGAGAACACTCAAAAAACGAAGGAGAGAAAGAGGGAGATAAAAAGGAAGGCTCAAATCAAATGAAAGAAGAGAACACTCAAAAAACGAAGGAAAGAAAGAGAGAGATAAAAAGGAAGGCTCAAATCAAACGAAAGAAGAGAACACTCAAAAAACTAAGGAAAGAAAGAGAGAGATAAAAAGGAAGGCTCAAAGGAAATGAAAGAAGAGAACACTCAAAAACGAAGGAAAGAAAGAGAGAGATAAAAAGGAAGGTTCAAATGAAATGAAAGAAGAGAACACTCAAAAAACGAAGGAAAGAAAAAGAGAGAAAGAAAGGAAGGCTAAAATGAGATGAAAGAAGAGAACACTCAAAAAACGAAGGAAAGAAAGAGAGCGATAAAAAGGAAGGCTCAAATGAAATGAAAGAAGAGAACACTCAAAAAACGAAGGAAAGAAAGAGAGAGAAAGAAAGGAAGGCTCAAATGAAATGAAAGAAGAGAACACTCAAAAAACGAAGGAAAGAAAGAGAGAGATAAAATGGAAGGCTCAAATCAAACGAAAGAAGAGAACACTCAAAAAACGAAGGAAAGAAAGAGAGAGATAAAAAGGAAAGCTCAAATGAAATGAAAGAAGAGAACACTCAAAAAACGAAGGAAAGAAAGAGAGAGATAAAAAGGAAGGCTCTAATCAAATGAAAAGAAGAGAACATTCAAAAACGAAGGAAAGAAAGAGAGAGATAAAAAGGAAGGCTCAAATCAAACGAAAGAAGAGAACACTCAAAAAACGAAGGAAAGAAAGAGTGAGATAAAAATAAGGCTCAAATGAAATGAAAGAAGAGAACATTCAAAAAACGAAGGAAAGAAAAAGAGAGATAAAAAGGAAGGCTCAAATGAAATGAAAGAAGAGAACACTCAAAAAACGAAGGAAAGAAAAAGAGAGATAAAAAGGAAGGCTCAAATCAAACGAAAGAAGAGAACACTCAAAAAACGAAGGAAAGTAAGAGAGAGATAAAAAGGAAGGCTCAAATTAAATGAAAGAAGAGAACACTCAAAAAACGAAGGAAAGAAAGAGAGAGATAAAAAGAAAGGCTCAAATCAAACGAAAGAATAGGACACTCAAAAAACGAAGGAAAGAAAGAGAGAGATAAAAAGGAAGGTTCAAATGAAATGAAAGCAGAGAACACTCA